TGAGATGCTCGCAGGCATTGCTGACCCCAAACCAACACATTTTAACACGAATCCTCAATTGGTGGGACAAAGGGTAAGATAGGTCCCCAAATCGCACCCTAGGTCCTTATCCCTCACTGTTTATTCTAGCTTACTACTGAAAACATATCTTCCCCACAGGAATGGCTTTCCTCAAATAATTACGCTTTTAAAAACTTAGAGCCACGTTCATGGTCTGTTTTGCAGAAAACAGCAAATATTCCTCAGCAAACACCAAGACAGGAATAGCCACAGAGCAAGCAGCTCAGAGCAAACACACCCGTGGAACCCAGGCCCCTTGCGTACTCACAGGTCCTTAAGCTCCTAATATTGACATTCGTTTCTTAGCTCTCCTGGGCATTTTCTTCTCTATAGCAAACAACAGTAACTTAATCTATAAAGAGGCAGGTTTGGCCGCCCCAGAAAGATGGGTTCATGTCCTTCCCAGGAGAGCACGGTGCCGAAGAGCCGGTGGGCTTTGTGTGGGGGAGCAACTGGCAAGAAATCTTGGTTGACAAAATAACCTCCTTTGCCTAAGTTATGGCGATGCATTGCAGAATCCAGGAGAAAGGACTGGAACCAGAGACAATTGAAACATTACAGTTCTCGAGAAGGACTCAGCTACAGCTTGAAAGAATGACACTGACCTTCAGCATGCCTTTCTGAAAAGTATTTTTAGAAGCAATTATGTTAAAAGCTTGAGCTTCTTGGAGTTTTATCTATATGGGTATCTCTTGGCCTCAAAGGCCTTAAGGTATTGAGTTAAGTGAGTCTCCTCTTAAAAAGCAATAGCTTCCTCGTGTAAAGAAAGTGGCCACATTTGCAGTGCACAGCGGGGGCGCATTTGGAAAAGGCCAGGTGTGTCAGGTGAGAGGGAGGCTAAGCAGGTGAGTTGCTGCTCTCAGCAATTTCCCTGTTGGGCTAGGCTGGCCAGGAAGGGGGCCCAGGACGCCTTGAAAAAGGGCACTGCTCCCAGAAGGGTCCCCAGGAGAAGGATTGGGTGGCAGATGCCCAGGAGATGCCCTGCCGCACTCCCCCCTCCAGCCCCGCTGGATTTCCTGTCTGGGGGCACTAGGAAACTAGGGTGAAGCCCCTGCTACCTGCGCCCTGCAGACCAACCTCACCCTTCCCTCTGATCACATCCTTGATCACAGCCATTTTCAGCTTCAGTCATGTCCTGCTCATTGTCTGGATAGTGCAGGTGATTTTATGCTGGGACCTTAGGGGTGGGCAGCTTTAGAGTCTGGAACTCCTGAAGTCATGTGCCAGCTGTGTGCTTATACAAATCTCCCTCCACCCGCGCCCCCCCCCAAGTGGATTAGCCTTAGCTTTCATTGGATTCCCAGAGGGATTTCCAGCTCCCGGAGGGCATGTAAACCACCCCAGAGGGACAGTGAATGAACTGAAGCCAGCAAAGCACCTCCCAGTGGTAGGCCACAGCCCTCGGGACTTGGCTCTCAGAAGAGCCAGAAAGCGCTGATGGAGCCTCACGCAGCATGTAGACCACATGGGGACCTTGGAGGTCATCTGGTCCAATGCCTTTGTTCTGCAAAATAAGGAAACTGAGTCTCCGGCCCGCACGCCCCAGGTCAGGCTAGCACCTAGGTCTCCTAACTCTCAGCCCAGAGCTCTTTCCATAGTACCGGCCGGGATGGTCAAGTTCTTCCAGTTCTGACCCCAGAAATTGTGTGCAGCTGTGGCTGTAGAGAGACGACCTCTGACGTCATCCCAGTCCTTCTCGGCTTTCTAGGGCTTATGTAAGCAGCCTACTGGCAGAGGGTGGCCTCTGCAACACGAGTTTGGACCTCGATTCAGCCTTTTCTACTGCATTTAAGAAAATTACCTCACTTTATACGCCTCAGTTCTCCTATCTGGAAAGTGGGGATAACAGCAATATGCATGCCATTTAGGATTTTGCTGCGTGAATTCCATAGACAGATGTGTTTATACGCATATTAGAGACAAGGCTTAGATTTCGGGCTGACACATATTGAGTGCTTATCCTCATCCATTGTTGATATTTTAACAAGCACTTGTTAAGCACCTATTATATTCAAAGCTTTGTACCAAACACCAAAGATACGAAGACAAGAGACCCGACCTACTCCCTTCAGTCAGCAGTGGCGTATGGAGGAACCACAGCTAATCAAAATAGATTTCAACGAGAGCTCGGTAGTGGTTGGCTCAATGCCCTTGGTAACCGGGAGGGGCGCTAACACACACCTAGTGTCTTGCATTTTCCCTGAGACTCAAAATGCAAACCTGCGCAGGTAAAGCCATGGCATGCCCTCCGATCTACCTGCCAAGGGTCCCTGGAAGGGCTGAGGGTCAGCAATGTGCCAATGCAAAATCGTTGGCTGCTCTGGCTGCCCTGGGGGCGGGCTGATGGCAGCTGCCAAGTGCAGATGGGGATTGAAGTTGGGATGAGGGCGGTGGGCGGGGAAAGGGAGGATATGCTCGGATCTGCTTATGCCGCAGAGTTAACGGGCCAACGAGAGCCAAGACACAGAGCAGCAGTGCTGGGAGCAAGACAGACAGAGTCCGGGTGTATTTCCCCACGGGGGCTGTGTGTTCCGTGCTGTCTGTTTGAGGGCAAACAGCCAGGGCCCAAGCCTACCAATGCTGTGGGTTGAATACAAAGCCCTCTGTTTTAGGGTTATACAGGATATATTAGACAGGGTATACGTATATAAAGAGAGAGTTATTAAGGAAATCAGCTCATGCTACTGTGGGAACTGGCTGGAGTTTGCAAGGCAGTCTGGCAGGCCAGAAGCTCAGATGGAAGTTGACATTGCAGTTTGGAGTCAGGGCTGGAGACACAGGCAGATTTTTCTCTGCTGCCCTCTGGAGGCAGAACTTCGTCCTCGTCAGAGGACTCTCCCCAGGCCTTCAACTGCTCAGACGAGGCCCATCCACACTGTGGAAGAGAAGCTGCTTTCCTCACAGTCTCCCGATTTAAATGTTAATCCCATCTTTAAAAAAAGTACTGTCCCAGCAACACCTGGACTAGAGTTTGACCAAACGGCTTGGCAGGGTCGGTGCCGTGGCCCGGCCAAGTTAACCATCACACGCTGGCTCAAGCACTCACGGAAAACTGTAAGACCATGTGAAGTCGGGAGGAAGCGGCAGACTTTTAAGTTTGAAACCCTAGCAAATCTGAGCCTTTTCTTGCGACTCTCAGTTCACATGCCACCTTTTCTGGAAAGGTGCTCACCAACCCCATGCCATGAGTTTCCTGCCCTCCTCAGGGGAACCAGAGCCCACCACCTGTCCTGTGACCCAGTCTGCTTTGTGCTGTGACCCCGAGTTTATTCTTCCCACAGTCTCTGTCATCCCTGTACCCCTGGGGCCTAGCTCTCATTGTACCTCCTGTGTAGGCACTCGGTAATGTTTGTTTGGGGACGAAGCTTCTGCTTTTGGAACTCCATGGGAGCCCCCACCCCAGTGAAGAGAGGCACTCAAGTTCCCCGACAAGGCTGGACACCAAGCAAGCCCAGCACCTGCCTGGACCGACGGCTGTGTGTTTGTGCTGAACGTTGTGCTTATCAAAACACACGCCGTGCCCCAGCGATGAACAGCTCTTCTCCGTGTCGTGTGCTAATGGCCATGCACGTTTTTCTCGTTCACCCTCAGATAGCAGCTGGGAGTCAGGTCCTCGGGAGTTAGGGTTCAAACTGAGGATCTGGATGGGGAAGATTCCAGACTTGGCCCTCTGGGCTTGTCTGTTGCTCCTTTCTTCCCCCGAGAGCATTTTTAAAAGTGCTGACAGTGTGCTGGGAGCCTGGTCCCAGCCCTCAAAAAAAAAAAAAAAAAAATTCATGGCCTAAGGCTCAAGACTGCACTTACATCTTCATGAAGAAATGCCGCATTGACTTGACAATTTGCTATAAGGAAATACAGTACCTTTCAGGTCAAAGTGGCGTGCTTCTTCATGACCTCGTCTGTAAACCTGACACAGTCAAAGCTCCGGGCATTGCGAGGCACTGGGCTGCTTCGGACGGAGGCCTCGTCCCCTCCAGCAGAGTGGGCTATGGGGATGTGCCCCAGCTGGGCTGCAAGTTCTGACCCTTATAGCACTGCCAACTTAGAAAATCCAAAGGTGATGAAGAACTCCTTTTCCCCCGTCCTCTGGCCAACACTTCAAAATTGAACTTGAAAAGCCAGAGAGAAATAGAGAAAGATTTTCTTTCTAATTATCATAGAATTAGCACACTGTGGAATTTTAGATTACAAAATAGGAAAGAAGTTTGGTGGAATTGTAAATGGCGCCACGACATGGTGGGGGAGGGGGTGGCAACTTGTTGTCACCTGAATAGCAGGAATGGCAGTGGAAAGTGTCAACCCATAAAGGCCCCGGGCCAAAGCAGCTGTTGGGACACTCCTCCATTGGGACACCACGCACCAGACAAAATGACCAGTGCGCCTGTGTTAATAGAGATGCACTTGGTGAGACAAAGAACATGCCACAGGTGTTTTGTCCCCACAAAGGAACAGACACGCCCTGCAGTGTGGCACATAAATATAGACACTAAACAACAGCATTTTTTCTAAATTACAAAACCCGTGGTGAAGGACACATCCCAGCCCCACCAGGGTCACTCCGGGGAGGAAGGAAGGGGAGGAGGTAGTGGGATGGTGGTGGGGACTCCAGCGCTGTTTATAAAGATTCCTTGTTTTAAAAAAGATGCTCAGAGGAACTACTGCAACATGTGGAAGTGTGTTTGTTCAATACTGGTGTTTGCGCATGGTTATCTGTTACATTATCTTTGTGCCTTTGTGTGTGTGTTTGAACGTTTTTCCTTTCATTTTACAGAAAGGAAGCAGTGGGAAGCCTGGGAAGCAGTCATGGCTAAACCCGCCCACTGAACAAATTACAGGAACCGGAACTAGAAGACCTCCCGACTTCATTCATTTGGCCCCCTTATTTTAGATGACAGAAAAAAGAACCAGTAGGCCTACTGCAATTTTTATTTATTTTTTTCCACTGTGTAATTTGCTTCGGTGCCTGTGGCCTACGGATGGAGGCCAGATGAGAGTTCAAGGCCAGAGTCTGCCTGGCGTGGGCCCTATGAAACACCCAGGGGGACAGGCCTGCCATAAATCCAAACCCGTGTGTCCTGACACAACTTTTAGATTGAGGAGGTTCTGAACACTTTCTGGCACGGTTTCGCATGTAACAGATGATCACCAAATGCTTGTGGGGTGAAGGGGAGAGGCTGTTAGACGGTGCTCGCTGGCTGCCCTTTGCCCGCATTTACCCTCACCGACCGGGAGGCGCAGAGGACTGAGGACCGAGACTTCCCACCCCGTCACTGTCCTGACTCCTTCAGCCCATCTGGGCCAGTGGTTTTCAAATTACAGAGCACACCTGTCACCTGGGAATGTAAAAAAAATGCGGTGTCCTTGGCTTTGCTGCCAAAGACACTGATGAGGGTAGGGCTGGTGGGGAGTTCTTGACTTTTATGTCTAACATGCCCTTCAAGAGGCTGCTGATGCGGGCGACTGTCAGGCACACTCTGAGGACAACGGCTTTGGCATTTGGGGCACCTTTGCTAGATACCTGCCTTTGTTTGCTCTTCTTTGAAGAAAAAAACCACAGGGGTAAAAAGGAGGCCTGGCTTACCGTGGTGAACATGAGACCTCAGAAACCAGGGCAGAGCACGGCACCCAACCTCGTGGAGGAGAAAAATACTGCGCTGGTCGCCAGAATGCAAGTAGATTCTATATCGAGCTAGAAGTGGAAGCGACAAGTTTCCACTGTAAGTGCCAGGGGAAGCGGCAGGATGGTAAGGTGACGCTTGAAAGAAAGGGGAGTCCAGTTCCTTCCCCCGATTCTTGGTAGGCAGAGGGAGAAAAAAAGGAAGCATCCAGCTGAGAAACTTGCTGCTGCTTCATCACAACCGTGTCCTAGCTTCTTACCCGGTATTCATGCTGGCGAAGTGTCCTCGCCCCTCTGATTTAAAAGGGGACAAAACACGGGCAGCATGTTTATTATAAGACATGAAAGCGGAGGCAGCACGGATGTGAAGAGCACCACTGACATGCCACCTGCAGAACACGCCAGCAGGTGGGACAGACTGGCGGCCAGAACTTCAGACTGGTGTAAACTGAACCTTACAGTTGACATTGCACCCCCCTGCCAAGCCACATTTCCTCTCCAAAGTCCCAGTCAGCTTCTGTGACACAGCTGCCATGAACATGTCATCTCTTCTCAAAGGTGACGAGACCTGGGAAAGCCTTCAGGACCAAGGCCTTGGGTGCTGGTCACCTGGGAGGCTGCCCGGAGATGACATTGGAGGAGTCTTGGGTGGGGGGGCTGCTGAAATGGCCCACATGTCCTTTCCCCACTCCTGGGAAACTCAGGCTCAGCCAGGAAGATCCATCTGCGCCCGGCTTTGAGCTTTGACTTAGTGAAGCAAAGAGGCAGGGATGAGGACCTCATCTTTCAGACAGTGACAGCGATGGCCCCAGAGCAGTACCAGGGCGTGATTTGGGCTGAGTTCTTGTCTGAGGGCTTCTTCCCTCATACCTAGTTTTCCTTCTTCCCGGTGGCTCTCCGTGAACTCTCCAGTAACCTTTCAGTACATTTTTCCACTTGAATCAACCACAGTTTGTGTCTACTGTTTGTACCTAAAAGCCCTCAATGAATCAACCAACACCTCCAGGAGGAGAAGAGTCCCAAGCAAAGGAAACTACCTGGTTAAAAAAAAGTCCCCAGAACTCATTCCAGAGCTGATAAAGTCAGGAGCTTCAAAGCCTCGTTTGTTATTCGTGAAGAAAACACATCAAAGATCTCTGAACCTTTAACAAGCGACACAAACAATTTACTCAGAGTTTCCTATGCTAGGACTTTATCTCCAAGGACTTTTCCACAAGGCTTGAGTTACAAGCAAGATGGGCGTGCCGTTTTTGAGGACCTGGTGGAGAAAACAGACTGGGTAGAAGCGGGTGGGAATCAAGGGTAATATTTAAGAAGTGTTTGGTTCGCGATGCCTCTGAAATACCTGAAGCAGGTACTGAGCTGGCACTTGGATAGGTGCAACAGTCTGGAGGTCAAGGATATCTGAACAAAGGAATAAATTGGACAGACATCGGCAAATGGATGGCATTTAAAGCCACATATGAAAACATCTAGGAAAAAGAAACTAAAAGAGGAGAATGGCCCTGGCCAGCATGGCTCGGTTGGTTAGGTGTCACTCAGCAAAGCCGAAGGTCCTCAGTTGATTTCTGGACACGCAGAGGCTGTGGATTCTTTCTCTGGTTAGGGCGTGCACGAGAGGCAACTAATCCTGTTTCTCTCTCACATCGATATTTCTCTCCCTCTCACTCTCCATAACCTTCTCTCTTTAAAAAAAAAAAAAAAAAACAGAGAGAAGAATGCAACGGCATATCATAGTGGTCAGGGAGAGGGTGGGCCAGTGCAGGGAACTGGTTAGAAGAGTGTGGTGGGATTGGAGGGAAGTTTAGAGAGGACGGAATCAGGGCAAACAAGAGAGGAGAGTGATTGAAGAAAACTTACAGGACGGTCCTATGATACAAACTTGAATTTGACGACAGGGAGTCGCAGATGGCCTTGATGAGAGGAGTTCATGGGGAGCCACGGAGCCCAAAGCTAGACTGGAGGGGGCTGGAGAGTTCAGGGTAGGGGGCCAGGCAGAGACCATAATGTGTGTGGACGACTTGGAGAAGCTTTGCTCTGAAGCTAAGCAGAGGGAAAAGGGAGAAAAACTGAGGCCCACCGAGTCAAGGAAAGACCTTGACTCTAACGACGGGTGGTTATTAGAGTCAAGCAAAACAGGTTTAGATGTGGGTGCATTGGTAGGTTTGGGGGTGCGAAGAGAACTGACTTCTCCTTTGGTGGCATCTGTTTTCGCAGCACAGGGTGAGGCAGGTCATCAGCTAACATTAATGGAGTTGGGGGAGGGGAGGTCATATGGGAGATGTGAGGAGGGAGAAGTGTATCACCGTGTGGGGAAAGGAAGTTCCCCGTGGGAATGGATGGGGCAGCTAACGGGAGCCTGTGGGAGGTTCACGGTCCCGAATTTACAGGGAAACCAGCCAGCCTACTCCTGCGATTACGTTTGCTGTCAGCGTCCGCTACTCAAGGACGGGCAGGTAGCAGGCCGATGTTAGAGTCTGTCAAGGTTGGGGTTTTTTGCCAGGAGGGCATGACTTCGAGAAGAGAGGAGCATGGCAGTGAGGTCTGCCAGGAAGAGGTGAGAGTTGCGGGCCTTGTACTCTAAGTGGGTAAGGAGGGCAGTGCTGAGAAAAGGGGGGATGGGCAGGGTCAAGGCAGGGCAGGGGGTCCATCTGCACCCTTGGGATGGAACCGCGGGAGTTCAGGAGAGAGCAGGGGAGGAGGAGGTTCGAGAGCACCGACACCGAGGAGGCAGAGATGCGTCCATGACAAGGAGGCGCACGGTGTGACCACGATGCCAGTGCGGTTGAGTGGGAAGCAAGAGGAGGGTGGAGGGCGGCCCCCCAAAAGGTGTGCTCATGCCCTGGAACCTGCGAACGTGACCTATGTGGAAAAGAGTCTTTGCAGGTGTAATTAAATTACAGCTCCTGCATTATCCGAGCGCGTGCCCTAAATCCAGCAAGTATCCTCATCTCAGAAAGGAGCAGGCAGACGCACCCAGGGGATGTGGGACTTCTGGCCTCTAGAACTGAAGATAATTTTGTTATCCTAACGCCCCATTTGGAAACTAATACAGGACCTTAGCAGCTGTGGCGTTGGAGGGTCCTCCACGGGGGTCTCAGAGTCGCTGTAAACGGTGACAGAAGTGCAGGCTGAGGGGAAATTCGTGAACCAGAGCAAGTTATTGATGAACACAGGGGATGGATGAGCAGAGGCTGGTACAGACAGCAGTGGGGAAAGACGGATGGGGTTAGCTGGCCGGCACAAGCTTCAGATAAGCCGTGGTTTTTCCAGACAAGAGAAGTGGCCAGGGGGTGGGGGCTCCCAGGGGAGCAGTGTCCTGTGGTGGGGGGGCAGTCTGGTTTCAGGCGACACAGAGAGAGAGGGAAGGCTCAGAGATGGAGCTGGACGTATAGAGTATAAAGACCACAGCTGAGTGGTGGGTGTGGCCAGAGGGGCTGTGGGCACCTGTAGGGACCGTGGAAAGGGAACAGGGACGAGAGTTGGGGCACAATGCCGGGCGTTGGCTTCTCATGGGACCGAGCTGGATAGGCTTGTGAGTCCTGGGGCCCCAAGTCCCTCAGCACTGAGAGGCCCGAGGGCTGTGGGTCTGGGCGATGCTTCAGAAAAGCCAGTGCAATCATTTGGGAGCCTCGGGGGACAGCCGCCCTGACAGTGTGAGGACAGCGCTGGGGCACTGGCACGGGGACACCTGCGTGTGGCTGCCTGTCGGGACCGCTCCGGCATGCACAGGGCTTCATTAACTCCTCACGGTCGTCTCCAAAGGGCAGAGCTGAAGCGCTAGAGCTTGTTTGTCTAGATTAGTGTCCCGATTGCATCTCGGGATTTACATTTGTGCCTGTCTAGCACTAAGGGGTCTGTTGAATAAATTACGAGACGTTCGTACAAAGGAATGTTAGGTGGCCATTACAAATTGTGTGGTTGGAGAATATGGGAAAATGCTCTCAATAAATCATTAAGTGCAAAAGCAGGTTACCGAACATACAATTATGATTCCAATTTGGCAAAACAAACAAACACAAGTTTACCCACAGGCGTATATGGGCCTGGAAATAATCGTACAGCAGAACTACAACAGTGGAGAGCAGCGTGGGAAATTTTATTTTCTTAGTACTTTGCTGTATTTTCCAAAAACGACAATGAATGTTTACCACTTGGGGGTTCTGAGGAAAAAAGAAAGAAAATTAGTCTTGACTAACATATTCTCAAATGTTTTCTCTCTCTCTCTTTCTCTCTGGGAGGAATATTGAAAGAAACTTCTGAACATTTCAGGGACAGATTGTTGTAAGTAAGAAAAAAATGTACAAATAAAATAAAGTAAAATAAAAACCAGAAACTTTCATGGTTTCCTTTGGCTCACAATCGAGGGGCTACTTCCCGTCATAGGGCCGCCCTTCCCGCCCCTGCACTCGACCCCCTGCCCATATCAGGTGCTCCTTGGTCAGGTGAACTTGG